TGGGGGGGGGTGGGGGGGGGTTGTATTGTAATTATCACTGCATGCTTTTAAAAGGAATGAGTGAAGGTTAGGCACAAAGTTTTCATTTTTCCTGTGCCTGTGGTTTTGTCTGTAATGTGATTTAGTAGTTGCTGCTGTTTCTGTTTATCACAACAGAGTTACAAAATAGTTGCATGACAAGAGACCATTACTCTTTGTGATTGCATTTTTGGAGGAAAAAAGAACTGCAGACCCAAGCAGAAGTTTGTCATGTTCTTCATTTTTGTCAGTTTGTTTTCTAATAAACTTTGTTAAAAGAGCGCTAATGTTGTTGGGAAGTGTTTGTGGGAAAATCACAGAATAAATGTTTTTTTGGAGTGAAGGAGGCATGGTAAAAATCAGTCAACCTTTCAGACAAAATAAGTCCACGGTGATTCGTAATTATTGAGAGATTTGTAAAATAATGGAATACATATGCTTTTTTCTCTTAATCATAACTAATTAGTGCAGTTCTTGGTTAGGTTTGGATTTCTACATTTTCTTTTCCCTTATTCCTGCCACAAAGTTAGGGGGAATACTGCCCATCTCTCTATCATCAGCTAATCACCTTGTGCTTTTAAAGTTTAGATCCTCTTATTAACTGAACTTTTATTACTTATAGGCTATATCTAATCCCATGCATTATGAAGAATTGTATCCATAGGAAGTGCCAGCATACTCATATTGCTTTTATAGGTACATCCATTTTCGTCTGCATTAAGTACATGTTATAAATAATTCAGATTAATGGCTGCAGCTATCATCTATATTTTGTCACGATTACACTCTGAACAAATAATATGCTATTTCATATACAAATATATGATATTATATATCTGTGGAGATTGGAATTATACAAGAAGTTTTTTTTTTCTTCTTTTGTGTGTGTGTGTGTGTGCGCGCACTTGTGTGTGTGCGTGTGTTTGTGTGTGTGTGTATGAGTGCATGTGTGTCTTGGGGGGGGGGAGGTCGTTGAGAAGGCTGATTTTCATTATGTAATCATCTAGGATAACATAAGCAGAAAGTGAAAATGTCATTAAAACAGACCTTATCAATGCACAGTATTGGTTCCTGCTTTCCATATTCATAGTATCTGTATTATAAACTTGAAAACATGGATTTTAAAAATCTGTTCATGTTTAGGGAACAGAAGGCTAGTCTTTGTCAGCATACAATCTTTTATAAAGATTTAGTAACAGTCACAGTGGGGACAGTGCTATTGATTTTATTGTCAAGTTCCTGTTAATGAATAACACTCTTATTTTACAAGTGGAACATTGAGGATTGAAATCCTGCCTAATTGGCTAAATTTAACATTTACTTCTATTTTTACATTGATTTAGGTATAACAGATGGCAACGTACGTGAATTTAGGGAAATTTCAGTTATTTATTGAAGCTCTTTTGGCTGCATCAGGTGATTTTAACCAGAAGTAAATTGAATTTACTTGTAGTTAATAATCTAATAATAAATAACAGTCTGAGGGATTTCAGTGTGCTTTTTAGGGGGAGAGATAATTTGTGGAGGAAATTGCCTTATTCAACTGCTTAATTGCTGTTCATTAATGACTTAACAGAAGAGGATTTAAGATTCAATTAGGTGAAGAACATAACTGAAGAACTGTACAGAATTTTATATCTAGTTATTACAAACTTCCCACATGTAATTATGTTGCTCGCTGATGGTGTTAGGAGCTTGTTTCCTGTTTAATATCACCCTGTGGTATAACTTAATAAGTGAACTGAACAGCTAAATGGCCTGTCAACTTTGATGGTGGGCTTCATCAAGTGTGAGGACTTGGAGACCCGTCGTATAACACAGCATTTAGTCTCTGTAATGGTTCTCTAAGGGAATTGTTTTTGAATTTACCTGGTGAATTGTGGATAATAAATTGTGAAATAATTTGTGTTTTTGAATTTACCTGGTGAATTGTGGATTCAGTAAGTGTGTTGCAAGCACATTGGATTTGTTTTAGTTACAGTAACTGGTATCTATTCTATGTAAATATCTCTACTACCTGTATAGAAATAGGATCAAGTACATTTAAAGTCAGTTCACAAACAATTAAGCTTGCAGCAGTTATTCAGATGGATTGTTATATAATTTTCCTCAGGTGCATAGCAGATTAAGTCAAACAAATTGGGATGTGATATGGTCAATGTTCTAGAGAAAAAATCTGATGGAAATAATTTAGAAACTTTTCAATGTGTTAATAGTGTCAGGACAAACATATCAAAACCATATGAGAAGTAAATGATAAAGTTGTAGGTGTTCCAGCTAGCTCAGAGAAGAAACCTACTTACCCTATGTCTTTGTATCATTAAGCATGTGAGTCTAACCTGTAATTAACCTAGATCAGGGGGGGAATTGGAGCATTAAAGTGACCCTCCTGTGTGGGAGGAGAGAGTACCCACCTGGAGACCAGTGGGGCTTCCTGCTGGCTATGGACTTGCTATGAGTTTGCCACTTAAGCCTTACATTTCCTGCTGTCCAGTGTGATTTATTGTTTATAACAAGATATTGAAAGACTGATATGTTATGAAAACTATAATTATGTCACCCTGTTTAGGTGGGGGTGGACTGGAGATGGGGGCAGTTGGTACAAGGGTATCTGCCTGTTAAGAAGGATTTGAGCTGTTACCTCAAGATTTTCTTGTCAGTGTGTATTGTTGTGGTCAGTGCCTTCATTTGGAGTAATTGACTGTAATGGAGACTTTATCTCCCACAGAGAGTGATCCTTGTGGTCAGTTTTGATGACTGGCAGGTAGTCAGTAATACTTTTCTGGGGTAGCACTTGCAATTTTTTTCGCTTAGCCATATCACCACATTTTTGTCAATTTGTTATTAAAATGGCTATAATTTGGCTAAAACATGTCAAATCTAGCCATTTTCCTTTAGCCAATTTCAGTCAGTGTTAGCATTTGGCTAAATTGGCGAGTGTTAGCGCTACCCCAGCTTTTTATATTATATATTTTATAAATTCTGCTTTAGATGAATCTGAACAAAATAAGTGTACAGATTGATAAATAAACCATTGCTGTAAAAAAGTACATTGGTTTAATAAAATATATTAAGTGTTACTAGAATACACATATACTACCTTATAATTATGTGAACAATCTACTAACAAATAGTAGTTATACTCTAGAAGAGCTTTACTTGTTATGAGCCTTAAGTTAGGTAGTTGGGTCGTGGCTGACTAGAAAGTCTTCAGTGTCTCTGTATATTAATCGGGTGGTGTTCATGCTCACTAGAGAGACTGGTAACCCTGTCCATTAATCAGGTGGTGTCCCTGGAGAATGTGGCCATTACAGCATGTGACAAATTGGGCAGATAATACCACTGCTACAGCTGGGTGCACCAGGAAGAATGGGTACTTAATTGAGGGGGGGGGGGGGGGGAGCAAGGAAGAGGAGTGCAAAGTGCTTTTCCAATAACTTTTACAAAGTGTTTTTTGGTAGTACATTAATTTCATATTTGATAGTAAGAATTAATCATAATGATCTATTTCTTCATTTCAGCATTTTCAAAATGGCTATAAACTAACAAATTAAAGATAAAAAAGGTAGTGGGAACGTTGATAATCACAAAAGAATGAAAAGATAATTTATGACTTTTATTAATTTTATCAATAATTTTGGGATAAAATATTACATTTACTCATTTACATTCATAGAACTTCACAAACTTAAAAAGAGCAGATTAAAGATTTTTAACCAGTGGTTTCAAATTTATGTGCCAGTCAAAATTCTAGAGAAAATTCTGCATTTGGTCAATTTTCAACATGATTAAAGAGGTTAAAACTTCACAGCATGTATGCTGACTTATTTGAACCTGGTGCACTTTGGGTTTGCACCATGCTATCCACAGTGTAAACAGGCCTTCATAACAGATCAATAGACAGTGACCACCCTCTAGCATCCAGTATCTAATCTTGACCAGTGGCTAGTTAATGGAGCTGTTAATTGCAGTGGTCAAGTGGATTAAGGCAGATTAGAAAGGAAGGGGGAGGGGAGGACTGGTTTGTCTCCCACTGTGACTGATTGGACTGCTTGTGACAACTGAATCTTCTGCTGCTCGCTGGATTAGATCATTTTTGCCAGAGGTGGGAAAGGATGGGTCGCTCTTTTGATACATTTTCAAATTTTACCAGAAAACAAGATACATTCTGATACAATGTAATAGAAAGTAAAACTTTAGAACAAACATATGACAAATCGCCACTAGTGACATGTTGTCAAATTAATGGAATTGAAATTGAAATTTTTTCTCTTCTGCCTCGGAAAACCCAAAATAGACTTGCCCAGATTTGGTGAAACAGAAAGCATGCACTGACATCCCAATGTAATAGGAACAGCTTCTATTCTAGTTAGATGGAGTGATGAACATGGGAGCTGCGCTGGTGGTAAAGGAGAGAAAATTGAGTTCCTAAATTGTACAAACAAACTTTCTGCTGGCAGATGGCTGTTCGATGTCAGGTAAAGGTTTCCTCTTTCACTGATCTCGCATTTTTGCTATATGCTGCATCTCTGGCAGGCAAAATACTCCACTCAGATATTTAATTGGAGAAAATTGATTGCAACAGGAAACATACTTGATAGAAGCAGGTTGAACTTGTATTAAGTAAAAGATACCATTTTCTGATACTTAACAAATAACAATCAAAAGTGCCTCGAGTTATGTTGCTTAAGTCCGTGGTTTATTTGGACAGTTAATAGCAGGTTTCTTCATGCTGTTCAAAAGTCTGCTATTCAGTAGTTGATGTAATAGTGGCTAGACTAAGTGGTTTATGTTATCCTGTGTACCTAGAAGACTGCATGTCTACTACACTGTAGTTAAGTTACACAGGATATTGCCTCTGGAATTTCCTCTCTCTGTTTTGATGAATGATAGAGCTGTTGTAACATAATTATTAGGAATTACATTAGATCATGGGTTTTTATGGGGCACTTAGGCAAATGTTGCAGTTTTGTTCCTCAAATGCACAGTTTTACCCAGAGTCGAACTGGTAAGTTTATGCTCTATGATGGAGAATTTTTAGATACAGATAGATAGGAGCTGGGTACTGTAAGCAAAAAACTGATCTTCTGTTTGTGTTGCATTTCTGTACTGCTTGCTCGTCAGTCACTGACATAGGTTGTGCTCTTAATTTCTTGTTGCCATAGCAACAGGAATTATTTGACAGTTTAGGTCTGTGGTTGTCATTAGGTTGTTTTGATTAGACAAGCAAGAGTGTGCTACCACACTTATGATGTTATTACACATGTAAGTCTTTCATCAGAACGCTTCTGTTCCTGTTTTTGCTGTGTACACTGGGCCGTGTGCTTGTATTTGCATAGATGTTTCCACTGGTATAAGGCACCTTGATATTTCATGTTGATTTTGATGTAATTTTTGCATATGTTTTTATTCAACTGGTCTAGTAATAAGGTCACATTTAGTATGGTTTTAGAGAACAATTGTTATAATTTAATGTTCGCAGAGGTGTGGGATCAGAACAACAGTTCACGTGTGGAACCAAATGTCTGCTACCTGAAACATGAAAGCGTGTTTGGTAAAAATGAAGAATGTGACAAGAATTTCAGATCAGAACAGGCTGTTGGGGTGGGTATAGTGACAATCCAGTGGTGAGCCCAAGTGTTGAATTTCTGTTAAACTAAATTAATTTTACAGTTATAACTGACAGAACACAGCCTGTTTTTATCTCTTCTTTCCTCCTCAGTTGTGGTCTTCTCAGCTGCTAATTGATTTGCCAATTATACCACCAAAGACATCACTGAGCATCTTAGGATGGATTAATGCGGCCTTATTGTCCTCTAAGTGGATACGCTATTTTCCCATCCCCCACACAGATGTGAGAGCCGTTAATGATATCCCATGATGTAAGCTCCTTAGCTGATATAATCTGGGGACAACTTTGTTCTCTAAGACACTCTAGGTGTGAAGGCTGTTATTATGTAGACAACATGAGGACGCATTCACATTTGATTTGTCCACATGGTTTCTGGATAGACGGTGTCAGTTCATTCTTGCGTTAAAGTGTATAATTTGATTGACTGCAATTAACTAATTGTGTACCATGTTTCTGCACGTATTTTGTTCTCTGTTAGATGTTGTATGTTATAAAGTTCAGGGGGTGAAAAAGATTATAGATTATAGAATTATGCAACTGATTTATTTTTGGATCTTGAACAATTTAGAACTGGCCTAAAAAAGCTCCAGTGTGAACACGCCACCAGACAAGTACCTAATGATGCTGGAGCTACTTATTCATGCAAATGATCCCATCAAATTAGGACTGAGGGGGGAAGGAGGAACAGATCGATACTTTGAACATGTGATTAAGTCGTCAATAGTGCCAATTAAAGCCACGGGTTTGCTAATGACATGCAACAAAGCCTAATGGCCCATTGTTGTTGAGTGTGGAGTTGACAAAATACTCTGTGATCAAGAGGTTGGTCTCAGCTGTAGTGGTGGTGGTCCAGATTATGTTGTGGGGGATGATGGTTAAGATGGGGGGGGGGGGGGTATGCAAAAACTTGGCTTTATAGAATCAAAGATCGCATTCACAATGAGTTGAGCCATGGCTTTACAAATCCTGGAACTAAATATGGCGNGGCTTTATAGAATAAAAGATCGCATTCACAAGGAGTTGGGCCATGGCTTTAAAAATCCTGGAACTAAATAGGGCGGACGTACATGAAAGAAAAACGCCTAATCTTTTAATAGTCTCTCCGCCTCTCACACGCCTCCCCATGTGTCATCCAAATGGAGACAAGATTTAATGACTGTACCCCTGCAGGGACGACGCATGGGGAGGCATGTGAGAGGCGGAGAGACTATTAAAAGATTAGGCGGGTTTTCTTTCATGTACGTCTGCCATATTTAGTTCCAGGATTTGTAAAGCCATGGCTCAACTCGTTGTGAATGCGATCAAAGCAAAGAATTAGTACTAAAAGTTCAGTATGAGATGGATAAGAAGGATTGTGGTGGTGGTGGTGGGGTTAAAGTAGGGTTAGAGAATCAAAGCAAAGAATAAATAGTACTAAAAGTGTGGTATGAGATGGTAGATTGGACCACACTACCCGTTTTCAAGGTGTGCATTAGTATGCATTTCACAGTATCATACCCCAGAACAAATTTTGAGTTGAGATGCACTACTTTCCAACCCCGCTCAGAATCATCTCTATCCCATGGCGTGCAAGGCAAGAGCGGTGTCGCGTCTGCTACTTTGAAGCGCGTACTGACGCACACCTTGAAAATGGGTAGTGTGGTCCAATCTACCACTGAATTCAGGATCATTCTGTGCCAAGTCTGGTAGCTGGGTAGGCCTGAAGATTACCATTTTTGCTACTGAGGGGTTAGCCTTTAACCTCAGATGTCATCTTTGGGTGTGTCTTTGTCCTCGGGGCCCTGACTTTAAGTAGACTGCAAATTAAGGTATAAATCTTTAAAATGGAAATAAAAGTTCATCATGACTATTTAAATCATAACTGTAGGGTATGAAGTTTTCAGCTAAATTTTTATCTCTACAATATGCATGTAAGAGCTAGCTTGAAGGTTTCCAAATTTCAAGCAATCTTTTTAATGAGTCATTCCTACAGGTATTAAATATAACTATTAAGATAATGTCATGCCTTGAGAGTTAAAAGATTAAAATAACTTCTTCCAGAGGAAATTAATTTATTAGTCTGCCCTTGGAGGAGAAAAAAATGGCAATAATGACTTCTCAGTGCTGTTTCAGCATCATGGCCCAAAAGCTTGGTAATATATATGCCAAGACAATTGAATTAATTTGAAAAAAAAAGAAGCAAAAACAATGGGTGCAAAATTTTTGAATTGAGTTCTCATCATCAATTTCCCTCAAGATATATCTAAAATGAAAAATGCCTCCAGGAAGGAAAAAAAATGACCAAAAAATTGCAGAATCACCCAGTCAACTTCTTATGCATGCAATTGTTACTTCATATCATTGTGGAAATGGGTGTGATCATTAAACTGATAAAATATTTCCTCCAGGACAAAATGAGAAAAGAAAAGAAACAAATTTAGACAAAAAATGCATACTCCATAGGAAAAAAAAAAAGCTGGCATCAAAAAGAAAGCACAGAGTTGCATATCTGGATGTCACCATTGGGTGGAGTGGTGACACAACAAAGACCGCTGAGGACCTCTGAAGATGGAGACAAATATTTCAGTGGCAGTGACACCAACTGTGCTTGATGAATTACTTCCCGTTGTTGTTGGCCTTGAAAGAAAAAAGCATGCATTCTGCGGGGTACCCTGAGTTTCACGGCTTACTGGAAACTTTAATCTGAGGGCCTATTCCTGATAAACTAACATTCTACATCTATAGATTGATCTAAGGGTGCTTTCCCAGAGATTTAGATCGATCTAAAGATTAAGTTTTAGATCGACCTAACTCCCTGGGGGTTCAGGCTAAATTGCAGTCAGCCGAGCGGACACCATAGTTAATTACCCCCTTACAGCTTTTAGTAGGCGGGACAGACGCTTAAGCCAGCCAAGCTGACAGTAATCTAGTGAGACTCCCCACAGGGATAGATCGATCTAAAAATCTATGGAAATGGGGTGTAACTCCGTGTGGACTCTTACTGAATGCAATCATATTTCAGGTATTATCTTATTGCCAATATACTTGTAAAACCACCAGCTTTTCCGTAGTCTACTCAACACTTGCAGGAAGCATGTTAATCTAAGTCAGGCCTACCCAACTACCAGACTCGGCACCGAATGATCCTGAATTCACCGGTAGATCAGACCACACTACCCGTTTTCAAGGTGTGTGTCAGATCGCATTACACAGTATCAGACGCGACACCGCTCTTGCCTAGTACGCACATCGCGATAGTGACGATTCTCAGCGGGGTTGAAAAGCATTGCATCACCAATCAAAATTTGTTCAGGGTATGATACTGTGTAATGCGATCTGACACACACCTTGAAAACGGGTAGTGTGGTCTGATCTACCGGTGAATTCAGGATCATTCGGTGCCGAGTCTGGTAGTTGGGTAGGCCTGTAAGTGAGTTTTTAGAAAAGTGAGAAACTCGGGGTACATAGGGTTAGGGGGGAAATAATGTGGGGAGTTTTATGTTATGATCTAAAATTGAAACTGTTGTGTAATAGTCAACAAATGCACACCTGGGTCGTCTACATTTGGAAGGTGTCACAAATAGTTTGTTTTTTTTTTTTGCTTTTTTTTTTTTGCTGGAAGCTGATTAGTATAGTTTGGTTGCTGACACCGGTTTTGCAGCTTTTTTAAAAGCTAAAAATGTTGTTGCATGATCGTAAGCAAAGGCATTTAACTGTTAAGCTCTTGCCTCTGGGGAATTTCATGAATTGGTATGTGTAATCTGGCATCACTGAAATTTATTATTATGATCCTGATTAGTAGAAAACTTCTATGAGTCATGTTCAGCAGCAGTAGTTATAAATGTGTGGGTAGTTTGTTGTTGGCATTAAATTTTTCCTTTCCATTTCAGTATAACTTGATCATGCAGTTCACACAGCAGAGAATGTGATTCTTTTCTATTAATTGGGTGGCCCCAAATGTAAGAATTAATGAAGATTATTTAATGAATTTATTTTACTTACAGATTCCATTGGGAGAGTTGTTAGCATTGATAAGAAGTTGCTGACTTCAGGTAAGACTTGTGGACTACAATTGATGATGTACAGCTTGTATTCTTCTTTGGGGTTAGAGTTTTGGAATTGTATTTGCAAATGAATCCCCTGTAACAATAAATAGAATATCTGGGAAGAGAATAAAGGTTGAAAAGCAAGCTTCAATAATGCATATATATATACTTGCACATTCACACTGAAAAGTGCACATTATAGCAATATGAATATTATAGAAATGAATGCTTCATATTGGATTAGAACACTAAAAAGGAAGATTTGTCAGTGTGTTAAAAGGCAATATTTTTGTACATAAATGCACATATTGTAGTGGTATGGAGAGATTGGCACTAACATTAACATCTTTGTCTTGGTCTCTGCACTAGGGGATCTCAGTCAAGTCAGATATCAAGTTTTATTGGTCTTGCAATTATTTTATTGTTTGCCCTGTGCATTTCTGTGATATCACGCCAAGTCAATTAATGAAAGAGCTGCAATTTGCCGAACTGTGTAAATTGCATTTATATACTGGTTTACATGTTGTTTTTCTAATTGATTCTTTATAATTGTATTGACATTCGTCAGTTCAACTTAATGAACTTTCTTTGTGATGTTTCTCAGGGGAACAAGCACTTCTTCCCACATCCGTGCTCAGACATGATTGTGTAATTTCAGATTTCGTGTCTGCATGTATTTTTTGTATACCATACTTGAAAGCAGGGACCAGTGTCATAAAAAGTCTAGTCTTTTTGGGAGGGCTTATTGTAGAGCGCTAAACTTGAAATGCCAACTCTGTACAATCAGTATTAAAAGATACTGGCTGTAGAACAAGTTATGAACTATTGGCTCACAAAGAATGTAGCTGACATACCTGAAGTGGCTATTGTCATCTCTCTGTGTGTAAAAATCAATGTCAAAACAATCACAGTTTGCTCAAGGGGCTTAGTTCAAAGATGGGGAAAATAAGGTAAGGTGCCTATTTGATTCTTTGAAAACTGCAAGATAGTTGGCTATAATATTTAGCAGTCTCAGCTAGAATCAATCGTAGGGCTCAATGTATTTATGAAACAAGTTGGCTAGTTGATACATGTACATTTTGGTATCTCTTTGTGATTTTTGTCTCTGATGATAAAGATAAAGACCAATATGCAAAACACTAACATAATCATGCTGATTGTAAGTAACGCAATGGGTGTGCAGCATGTATACCAAGCTGTCACCGTACAAGTAACATTTCGACCAATTGCTTCATGAACAATGCTATATATACTAACAGAGAGCTAATTACATCAACAGCACTTTGTTCTGGCTTACCTATCATAACTGAGATAGATTGGTTGTAAATCAAGTGTGAATTCACCCACAAATGATGGCTGCAGTGGTTATTGTGGTGAGGAGGGTTATTATCACTGGATGTCAGATGACTGGATTGCTCTCTGTTTGTTATTACTTGTGTCCCTGTTGTTTTGTGGTTGGTCTGGGCTCTCACTGGCGTAAATTTAATGGCAGACAAATGCCTGAAAAGTTTAATTCATGTCAAAGTTTCAAGGTGGAACATATGTAAATTTTCGAGCATTTTGAAGTATGTAGTGAGCTCAGAAAAACTTTCAAGTGTCCCTTCAGAGGTGAACCTGTGGTGGTGGCTCATGTGAAACTGAAACTGAGGGCAGTGTTTAATGATAATGATAAGAAGATATGATCGAAGTTTGTTGAGGACTAACTGAATATTTCAATTTTAATGTGTTATTTTAACTTGTGAAAATGGTATCTATAATAATGAAGACAAGGAAGATGATGCCTGACATACCCAAAAGCACCCATTCGGGCAGACATGTTTGTTTCCCTGGCTCCTAGAATTTCCTAGAATTGGGTGCGGCGAGTGTCTCCTGGATGTTTTCTCAGTAAACATGTCTGTAGTTAGGTAAGGCAGTAGGAAGTCTGGTTAATTACTCAGATGTCTCAATGTCTCAATGTCCAGACACAGGTGTATGTACAGAGAGTTTGCTTGCACTATTGCTCTTTGCTTGGTACAGAATGTTTTCAGACATGAGTTTTTTTCCAAAGAAGTATTTTTGGCTATAATGTGGTCTAAATTTTAAAATCAAAATTTTAGGCAAATGTTACCTAAGATAAATGGGTAATAGTTTAATCAAATTGAATAATGTGGTGCTCTATGGCTAAAAAGACCTGGCTAATGTTATAGACCAATAATTACTAAAATTTTAAACCAATTTTTGTATAGGTTTATATTTATTTGTAAATTTGGTCCATCATGGTCTGTCTCAAGTGGAAATGTTAACTCGGTCAACATCGCACTTAACCTGGATTGCAGGCGAGTGTTAAAACAAAAGTACGACAGTGAATTTCTGATTTCTCCCGACTTTGAAGTTTGTGTCAAGGTTTCTCAAAAAATACAAAACTCATTATTAAGGTAAATATGTTGATGAATTCTGTAAGGGGTACAATTAGCTCATAATTTAAACCTCACACAAATCATTACAGTTCTAAAGTTGGGATGTTTTGATTTGAAAAAAGCTGTTCTCTGACTCATCTCTCCCAGGCATTCATTTCTCGATATATTGGTTGATGTCATAAGTTGATTTTGGCAGTAAACATAACTTCAAGTACAAGTTGTTCCTGATTCTGATAAAAATATTGACTTGTGTTTGCTCTACGGGTGGCTCTGTACGTGGAACCACGCACATTCCCTTACGGGGCCATGGGGTAGAAACTTGCACCTGAAGTAGTGTTAATTGCAAAGGTGTTTTTAAACCAAATCAATGAACACTCCTCAACACGGGGGAGAACTACTGCCCAAAGCCTTGCATACTGCCAGTGTATTTCTTTCACAGACTACCTGCTTGGCCTAAAGTAATAAGACCATCATCTTGTCAACACCCACAGGCCATACATTATGCAAGTCAGTTAATAACTTCATTTAAGAACCAGGGCAGGGATGTTTCCTTGGACCATACACGTCCTCTGTATTTTGTCTGTCAGATTGAAAGGCTTAATTCAATTTTTGTATAATGAGAAAGAATGTTTGACAGTTAATTTNATGTGGGGGTCTATACGAATGCGCTTGCTCCAGCTGGTGGTACAATATTCGGAGGCGGTATCGCCTCTCTGATCCTCTAGTTCTGTTGTCTTTACGACTTGCCTTGGCAGTTTTCCTGTGCTTGCACCTTTTTTTCTAAGCAAAACAATATGAAGCATAAGTTTGCCAAAGATAGAAAGATGGTAAAAACAGACTGATACCACACACACCTTGCAGAGAGAGAGAGGAGTGGGGGTGAGAATTTAGCCTTCCTCCTTTTTTTCCTCAAATAAATAAATAAACATATCATCAGGAAAGTAACACAACCACCAAACATATCATCAGGAAAGTAACAACCACCAGAGACCATTCATTCTAAAGTAGGATTCCTTCACCGTATACATATTTTCAAGGAAGCTATAGATCAGACACAAGGGTTTACTACTAGTATTGAGAACCTTCCAGGTAAGCAGCAGCCACCACATCGGGTAATTAATCAGTGTTTGTTATTTTCCCATGGTGGCAGGATACTTGATCAGAATGTTGCCAATTTTCCTCCCAAACCACATGCTTTGATGGACATCTGTTATAGTGAAGGTAAGAGGGGAGGAGGTCATCTACCTTGGTATGTGGAGGAGGAGAAGGCATGTTGAAAACCCTCTGTCAAGGTGAGAATAAGGAGTATGTTCTAGGCTGTTGGGTAGAGAGCTAGTGAGAATAAGGAGAAAGTTTCTAGGCTGTTGGATAGAGAGCTTAGGTGAGTAGAACTTGATGGGAAAGTTCAGATATTATAACAGTCACAGTTTTTAGGACCTGGAACTGGAGGAAGAGAAAAAGCCTACCTTTGGGGGATAGACTCTAAGTACGTGTTTGGTTTTTGTAAGAGGTTTAAAACATCAAATATTCAGCCAAGGCAAGAAATGTTCCCTTTCTGTGAGAAATTGTATTAGTTGAGGTGGCAACAAAGAGCAGTGAAGTGAAGTGAAGTATAGTAAACTGTATTCAGTAAAGGAACTTCTTGCAGTTGTGTACGTAGATAGTGTTCCAGAGATTCTGAGGTAAAGGGAGAGGTTTGAAAGTTACGAACATTTTCGTGTCTTTTGCCCTTAATCAAGCTTGCATTTAGATAAATTTTCTTAGTATTAAACTTTAAGCCGATCCACCATACAATAGCTAAAAGATCCTTTCTTCAGGATATGAGGTTGGTTTTCAAATTGCATTATATCATTATGAGCTATTATGTAATTAGCTGGTAGGAGCAAGTGTCTCTGGTACATGTTCTTTATAGAACAAAAGCAGTTAAACCTTTAGAAAAATGTACCATCTAAGGAAGCATTGAGGTGTGGATCCTTCAAAAAAAAAATACCCATAATAAGAATTAGGGATTGGAGAATTGATCATGGGAGTTACGGCCCTCAGAGCCTGCCAACAAACAGTAATGATGCAGAAAAGTTTTGTGAATCATGGCATAGAGCACATTCAGAACAGCGGACTAACAGATCTGCGGATCAAATATGGTCAACCCACTTAAATTCTTGTTGCATAATTCCTGTGGGAAATCTATTCATTGTCTTATCAAGAATTAATCGTCAAGCTTTTTAGTGGGTTGCCATATTTGATCCACAAGTCTGTTAGTCCGCTGTTCTGAATGTGCTCACAAAAAAGAGGGGATAAGTTTCCTAAAGTTCAGTGCTGAAGACATGGTATTTGATCTCTGTTGACCCCATCATTATCCCATCACAAGTGTAACCAGGCCATTTCCTGCCAGGTCACCCATGTCAATCACCACAGATGATCCACATTTCATAACTGATATATATACAGGGGAACCAGAGCATTTCTCAGAATAGGACAGTTTACACACAGATTACTGGATCGCTCTCACAGGTTTGCTCTTGGTGTATGGACCTGAATTAAAAGTATACATTGAAGTATAGCATTTGATATCTATGTGGCATAATTTGGACTAGGTATATAAATAAACAGATTATTGGGTCTTTAAACTTGAATTGCTTGTTATAGGCATGACTCAAACCTGGCTCACCTTTGACAACAAATCGTGATCAGATTTGGGTAGAGATGGCTCATAAGACAACTGTTTTTTGCTATGCCGTCTATGAAGAAAATATATAAATTTTAGCCATTAATATTGTTTTAAGATTATGAGATTGATTAGGAGAGTTACATCTGCCACACTGTGAATAAATATTAATATGAGAAGCTTGTGACAAGATATATACACATGCTGCAACTAGTATTTGTAGGTTTGAGTGCTTATTTACTTCTCAAACAAATCTAATTACATTATCCTTCCAAGATGTTTAAATAGTATTTTGTTCATATTAGACCAGTAAACATATTATTTGTTATTTAAACATATATTAGTGTCAGATTTTGTTTACATTAGATATTGTGCACATTAACTCATTAACCGTTACATAATCCATTAAGATAGAGGCAATTAAGGGCTTTTTCAAGGTAGTCAGTCAGCATCCAGCAAAAACACAGTCATGCTGGTAGCAGTAGTAAAAAATGGAAAATGTTTAAGATTCCTCAAGTTCTTCCCTATATAACTGCCATGCACTGGAGAGATGGCCACCTATATGATTTATTTGGACAATATGTTTATGATGTCAACAAACTGGGGAGTTATGTTTGTTTGTGGGAAAAAAGATGAACCATCATGTGGGCAGAGAGGATATCCCAGCTGTTTGTGTGCCTGTTTTGGGATATTATCTTTCTGGTTTGAGTGTGTGTACGTGCATGCGTGTGCATGTCTGTGTGTATACGTGTGTGAGTATGTGTGCATGTGTATGGCGTACCTACATGTGTGTGTGTGCGAGTGCACGTATGCATACAGGAATATCAATTAATACATATTCACTTCTAATTGAAAGTTACCAGCTAATACTAATTACCCAGACATTGAAGAAATTGAGAGAGATTCTGATAGAACTGTGGGTGAAGCGTTCTGATAAATGCAGATAGCAGTGGATTTAGTTATCTGTGTGTAAACTGTCCTGGCAGACAACCCAGCACATTAAGTCAATACAGGCAGCTGATCAGGCGTGTGGTGGGTATTGCAGTCAGTTGGCATAACACCATGAACTACTGATAAAATACTAGAAGCCACACAGATAGAATGTGCACTGCTAATGAATCATGCAGGCAAAATTGACGCCTCTGTAACACGTGCTGTAAATAGAACTGTTGCATCCCTTGCATCCCGTCAGTGCCCAGAAACAACAGCTCGAATGACATAAACATGAATTTCGGCATTTATCTGTTTCCTCTTTCCTTCCCTCCTTCCTGATTTGTTGACTTCTGCAATTCTACCTAATAAATCATCTTGGCATTCTGTCTGGGATAAAGCACTTGGAAAACCACAATGGGGAAACATACTTGAGAGGTAGTGAAGTGAAAATAAGAATAGAATGGTAAATCATTAAGACAAGGAAGAACAATTCTTCAAAATGAAAAGGAAAAAAAGCAATTAACAACAGAAAACCACAATGCCAGGGTAAAAAGGAGGAATAAAGACAAACGGAAAGAGAATAAAAAACAATAAACAACGGAAGCTTTAAATGATGTATCATTTATCTTGTGCCTTGACATTTGGTTAGACCACAGTTTAGGGTCTGCCACAGTACACTGAAGCATCACAGTCATTTAGTACAGATAAGACAGGACATTTTGTGTCCTTTCCTTGGAACGCTGAACGAAAGAGGCGACGATTCATGTTGAAATTGCTTTTTTTAGAGGGATTTTTAACCATGATTTCACTTGAGAGTACCTTTGAATCTCATTTTTCTTGGGATTCGGTTTAAGTTGGTTGTGAACAGTTCCCAGTCTTCCATGAACGTAAGTGACAATTACAATGGAGATGCATCTTTAGCGCTAAAATTTGATTTGTTGCAAAGAAATTGGAAGGTTACTGGGTGCTTCTATAGCCTACAATTTGTTCTCTTTAAACTGTGCCCGACAAGCAGTGCTAAATTACTTTAAGACAGTTGATGTTTAATCATTGTTGATATGTTCCAGGAAATGGGAATTTCTGGAATTGTATTGGTTTTGGGCAAATTTCATTATCAAGTTTGAGAAGATGGATTTATCTGGCGATTTTTCCTTGAGAATGAGCCATATCCCACATAGCTTTGCTGATTTCATTTGTATGCATTTCCTTAGAAAGTGGAAGTTTATTTTGGAGATGAAGAAAGCCCCAAATCACTTAGAATATCTTGTTTTTTGACACTTTAGCTTGAAGAGCATTTGTGGTGTAGACTACCCAAAACAGCACAATAATTCTTATGAAGTATATATTAGGCTTCATTCACATGCAATGTCTATTTTCTAAATTCTATTTTCTATTCGCGGTATGTCTTATGATCACGGTCTGTGCCCTGAATATCCCGCGGCGTAATTACTGGCAGCGCGAGCCAGTTACTATAAGTTACTATAAGTTACTATAAGTAACTGGCTCGCGCTGCCAGTAATTACGCAGCGGGATATTCAGGGCACAGACCGTGATCATAAGATAGTGCGAATAGAAAATAGATTTTTAGAAAATAGACATTCCATGTGAACGAAGTCTAAGTTCTAGGATCGGCTCATCTTGTCTGTGATGTCAGATCTTCTGCTCCTTGCTTTTTTAGGCATCTGAATGGCAAGAGGCAAAAACAATTATGTTTATTCTAGGAAAATGATGTCAACAGGCTGTCTGAATTAACTGGTTTATTAACAGATGTGCTTAAAGAAGCCAAAATAGAATTGCAGAATTGGCCAAGTCTGGATTGCAGTCTATGTTTTTAGGTACTAGTAACTGAGTAAGTACAGTGACTTGGTAGGTGGAGAGAGAGGTATGGTGTAGTGATGAAGACATTTAATGCTCACCTTTCCTTTACAGCATGATGCAGATATTTTTTATGTACAAGATTTGTTTGAAGTTGAGATATTTATACAATATTTTCTTTTGTGTATTTCAGATATCTTTGTTTGTGATTTATCATCTTAAGGAGAGAAGATACTAGAGGAGAGAGGTAAGGAAACATGGAGTCATTGTTCATTATGATCAAAGCAGAAAAAAGATCTATTTTAAGCAGATATTATTCATCAAAATGAAAATAAAATCTGTAGGTTTTATGCAGGTTATTTTTACATATCTAGGGGGACTTTACACTGTTTGGTATATATCTGTAGTGTAAGCCACCTTTCTCTCCCCTAACTCCATGAAGTCAGGTGCACTCTGGAGAATACGAGACAGGTGATGGGTAGGGACAGGTGGGGTGGGTGGGAGACTCATTTTAGGGTGAATGTTCTTACTTTTCTTTGTGTAAATCTAGCTAAGATTTTAATTTACTGCTTACTTTTTATATGCAGAACATGCATGTCAAAGTTATGTTTTTTTTTTTGTTTTTTTTGTCTCCAAGTGAAAATATTGAAAAAATAGGCACTGGAGGCTTTATAATTATATGTTTGGTTTTATTTAATTTAATGAAAGGTAGTGACAGGGAATGGTGTTGGATGCCCCCCACCAGCCCCCCCCCCCCAAGTCCCCTGTGTCTTAAATCTGTTATTTATTATAAACCTTGACATTCTAGTGGTCCGATAAAAGATATGGTCTCACGAACCCAAGGGTTTTAGCCTTCCTTTGACCTTTTGTTCCCAGGAATTTCCCGTGTAATGAACCTGAACAGTACCTGGAATGTTATCTTGGAATTTCGGATCTTACAGTCCCATTCCCAGGAGTCTTCTTCTTTGAGCGTGACCAGAGATTTTGTTGCCTGTTAACAATGCTTTAGCCAATAAACCGACCTTTTCTTAGAAATAGGGAGCCACTTTCTTTGCATTTAGTCTTTTTTTACGGAAGAGGAATGTATGAGAAGGTTCTTTCAAGTATATGGTATATTNTCTAAAAAAAAGTCTACCTTGTTACCCTATAATCAACCAAACTTGAGAAATGGCACAGAACCTCGATCAAAATTTGATTTACAGCAGACCTTTTTCTGGCCAACATAAGGAAACAAGCAGTCAATTTTGAAAAGAAAAAAAAATCACAACTTGCAGAATATGCCAAATGTGCCTCTAAGAAAGCACTGACTGACACCAAGGGACGTACTGTCAGCAGAGCATGATGGGTTTTCTCCAGACAGACATACCAGAGAGGATATTTGTACAGTGATATAAGTGGAACCATTGCCTAATCTACACGCCTTGATTTCTGATATCAGCAAAATAATTGATCACTTAGAGAGCATTCAGATTCAGACATCGTACCAGCTGGTTCGGCCCAACTCTGCAAGGGATTATTGCTACAGTGTAATCAGTAGTAAGAATAAGCTTAAATGTTGTTCACACCTACTCGGGTAGCTAGGGGGTAATTTACCATCGTGTCCTGATTAAGCTACTTTAGTGAGAATTTAGTGAGAATTCCTAGCAGAGTTGGACCGACCCAGCTTGTACCATGTGTGAATCTGAATGCGGTCTTGGCTGGAATTAATGAGATAGGTGTTAGGTGCAAGATTAATGTGGACATCTAAAGTCTGGGTAAGACATGAAAAAAAAAGGTTGGAATTTTAGGGGAATTTTGTTTGGGAAGTTGAAATATTCAGAATACTTGTGCTGATATTTGTTCAGTAATACAAGTAGAATCATTACATAATGTACATGATTTGACTTGTGGTATGTTTTGCAGTAAGTGATGAGCTTGCCCTACATTATAATACAAATAATTGAGAAACTATTAAAAGATGTGGTCATTGATTGGAAACAAAATCAAATTACTCAAACAGTTATGACTATTTATTTGAGTCAAAATATAACTGAATTAGTCATGAGTGGTCCTTGAGCTACTGAAGAAATTACTTTCAGAATTACTTTCAGAATTCAGAATTCTTTTAAAG